TGTGTAATTTGATCTCCCTGGCATTAAAACCTTTGCAGGGGAGAAGAGGGCTCATCCTCAGAGTCTAGTGAAGATGAGAAAGATAGTGAGCCAGAAGAAGGAGATGCCCAAGAGGAGAAAGAGAGTTTAAAAGAGTATAAACTTAAAAAAAAAATAAATAAAAGAGTATAAACTTAAAAGCCATAAGACAATAAAAGAAAGCTGCCTGATAACCCCTTTGCTTAATTATCCCATAAAAAAAAAAAAAAAAAAAAAAACAGGAAGAGGAGGCCTCATCTGTCCCTCCATCTTATTTGGAAAAAAAGGTGGCTCCTGTCCTAAAAGGGGTATGGGCAGTGTAATGATGTATTGCATTAAAGAAGATAGACAAAATGGTGATCTTGAGGCATATCTTAATTCAGTCACTATCACACAATTTGGACCAGGATCCAACCCACAACTCCCTCAAGGAGGAGTTCAGTATGATTATCATGCATCTATCATGTGCTGGCATCATGATAGAGGAATCAACCCTATTCCAAGACTCCAGCCATTAGCAATCCAGCTGCCCCCTGGGATGCCACCTATACAGTCAAAAAGAAAAAAGAGAATCTGTTTCCATCGACTGTACGGTCCTCTAAAACATCAGATCAAGACTTGATGCCTTGAAGCTGCTGCATGCTGACTTGGTGAACATCAACAAGCCCTCTGGACACTATAAACTCAATTTGTGTGACTCTATTTGTGTACAATTATACTAATACTATCTGGAAACAGGTTAAGCTGCATGTACAAGAAAATGTAAATACTTCTGAGCTAATGCAACAATTGCAACAAGGTATTCAGGCTACATTTGCCAAGCTTTTATCTGGTAGTGGGAGGATGTAAATGATTCCATGATAAAGGGACTGACAAAGTTAAACCCATTAAATTATGTAAAACCTTTGGGGGTCACCCTATTATTCTATTAATCCTTGTTTTTGCATGTCTGTTGCTTTCTCTAGTCCTCTACAAAAGCAAACCAGTGTTGGGAGCAGAAGCAACTGAGCGCAGCTGCCATATTCACTGTCAAGGCTGCATTAAAACATAAAAAAGGGGGAGATGTTGGAGATCCCTTAGGCATAAAGTGGGCCAGGGAGGACAAGCGGGCCTCCCTGGTGGCACAGCTGTTGAGCGCTGGGCTGAGAAGCTGCCTACAGCCTCTGCAGCACCGGTTCGATCCCTGGCCACGGGTGAGGGTCCCACATGGCGCGCAGACCTCTCCTGCCACGCCCACTGCTCCCCTCCGCAGTGTTCTCCGTCTGTCTGCCTGCTCTGCTCCCCGCTCTGGCTCTGGTGAATTCTCTCACCCTCCTGCGCTTCTGACTGTACCCAGTGCTTGTATAAATAAAATAAATAAATCTTTAAAAAAAAAAAAAAGTGCTGAGACAAGCAAAACACCAGGGTCATGGCTGGAAGACTGGGCCTGGCTCACAGACTGATCAGCGCAGGTCGGAAGATCGGCCCGTGAGCAGATCAGGCTGTTCTTGCTTGTGTCAGCGAAGCTACACCTGGGGGACAAACTACATTAGAAGCAAGAACAGAACAACCTGATAATGCAGAACCTTGGCGGTGACTGTGCCAGATTTATACTGAATACTAAGAAATAAAAGAATAATGCATGGTCTTGTAACTAACCCAGGGGCAGTCTGTCTCAATAAGTATGAGTTGCTCCAGGCACTCAGGATGCTAATGCTTGGACTGAGAAGTCCTTTATCCTGTGGTCCCGCTTCTCTTAAACTCTCTTTTTGTCTGTCAGTTCTTTGTTTTCCATGGTTCTTTTGGATCCCTCTCCTCAACCCTGCTCACTGGAGCTGGGCTCCAGCACTAGTCCATAGGGATTCAGTCCTTTGCCTTTAATTACAATGAAGTTATTGTTCATTTTTTCCCCTAAGTCGATTGTTCCTATTTCCACTATAAACTTGATTTTTTATACAAGATAGTAGTGAATGCTTTGCTTTTTTTAATCCATTACTAAACTTTAAAAAAATTTAATATTTGGAAGATTTGGCATTCAATATATTAATTTCCCTTTATTAAAACAACCTTAACAATTTCTCATGTCTCCTATATCAACGGTTCTCAAACTTGGATACTTATTAGAATATGTTCAGGAGCTAAAAAAATGTTTTCTAAGACCAGATCCTTTTGAAACCCACTGTATTAGATCATGTGAGACGATATTAAGCATTACTATTTTTTAAAAAAGATTTTTTTATGCATACAAGAGCTAGGGTGTAGGCCAGAGGTGTGGAGGGTGAGAGGATTTACCAGAGACAGAGTGGGGAACAGGACAGGCCGATTAACTGAAACACTGCTGAGGGGAGCAGTGGGAGAGACAGGAGAGGTCTGCTGTGCCATGTGGATCACCTCCCTGGCCAGCTGGGCATCAAACTCCATGCCTTGCTTCAGTGGCTGTGGACAGCTTCATAGTGCTTAACTCCTTGAGCCACCAGAGAGGACCTCAAGCATTGCTATATTTAAAATATTCCCAGCTAATTCTGTTGTGCAGGTTCTATTCTTTTCAATGTTAACAATGATATTTTGGTCCTTGGATTCTACTGTTTTCTATTCCATGGTAAAACTTGTTTAATAAGATTTTCTTGTTCCCTCATGTTTTCTTTACCAATTGAAATCTTTAGATTAATTTACAAACAATCCCATATGATCTTGTTAACTTCCGTAGTGCCAGATTTGATTGCTGAGATGAGGAGGGATTTTCCTTTTTATGCCACTTTTTTTATAAACAATTTTTGGGGGAATGTTTCCAATGTTTAAGACTGGTCCCATATTATCTTAAAATACAAGTCACCAGTCACTCTTGGTCTTCTTTCCTTTATGACGGTGGTGACTCACATATTAGGTGTTTACACAGAAAACAGTCATTAAGTTCTTATTTTTCTCTCTAAATGGTTTCCACCCCCAAATTTCCTATCCAGCACTAGTTTGGAGTCTTTACAAGTTAAGATTCAAATGTGGAGTCTTTATCATGTCCAATAGCTATACCCACATAGCAGAAGAGCCCCAGTAACTTAGTTAGAAGAACTGGAGGGCAAATAAGGCAAATGCAGAAAAATGGGGCCTCACCAAAATTCTACTTGTTTGATTTCAGTCTCTGAGCAGATTAAGTTGTTCATAACTATTTCATTGAATTGGATAGAAGAAAAACGAAACTGCCTCTGATATTATATCAATGGCTGTCAGCAATCTTTTTCCTGCAAAATGGTATTTAATCAAAATAACTAGGCATAAGCAGTGACAGAATCATATCACTGAACACAAAGAAAGAAAGAACAGTAAGAATAGGTTTAGTGCTAATCCAACAGAATAGAATTAAGATTCAAGAATTTTAAGAAAATTACTTTAAACATGTTGAAAAAAGAGACATGCTGGAAAAAATCAGACAAAAGTGTGTAGCATTTCCCCAGTGAAACAATTAAAACTAAAACAATTACCAAAGACTAAAAAATAGAATAACCAAAGTAAATATCTCATTAGTTTGACAGTACACTAGGCATAGTTCTGAAACACCTCAAGAGAGCAGAATCATAAGACTTAGTGGTAGCATTTTCAATCTGCTAAACACACACACAAAGAAAATATTAAGATCATCCAAAGATATACTATGTTATGTTAAAAAACCCAACAATAAATTAATACCTGACTTGCAAATAAAGAGCATGGAAGCCATAGATAATTTAGTGACATCTGTGAAAGGCTCAAGATAAAGAACTGCTAAACCAGAATTATTTTTTTATATACCAGTATTCTATAGACAGTGAAAATATCTATAAATGAAAACTCCAATTAAAAACAAAGATAACAATGATCTACAATGAGGAAAAGTTGCTTTTCAAAAACTTGTGACGACACAAGTGGATATTCATATGAAAAAAAATTAATTATTACTCTCACTTTTAATCTCATGAACATTAAAGGATAATAATGGAATATTATGCACAACTCTATACCCATTAATTTGATAACTTAGATGAAATGGATCAACTCCTTGAAAGACACACTTAACAAAACTCACACAAGGAGAAACGCCAATAATATGAATAGGCCAGTTTTGATTAAAGAAATTGAGTGAATAATTAATAACCACCAGAATTAGAAAACTCCAGACACAGATGTTTTGCTGTCAAATTCTATAAAATATTTAGGGAGGAATAATGCCAGTTTTCTACAGTGTCTTCCAGAAAATGGAAACAGAAGTAGCACTTACAATTCATTCCACAAGACCAACATTTTCTAATGCCAAACCAACCAAAACCATTATAAGGAAAACTACAGGCCAGTATCTCTCATGAGCATTGATGCCAAATCCTCAGCAAACTATTAGCAAACTGAATCCAATTGTGTATAAAAAGAATTATGCAAATGACCAAATGACATTTACTCCAGGTCTGCAAGACTGGCTCAAGGTCAATTTGAAGGTCAATTAATACAATTTATCACATCAACAAAGAAGAAAAATCACACGATCACTCCAAATACTGAACAAGCAGTGAGAAAATCCAATATTCATTCACAGTAAAAAAAGAAAAAACTCTCAGTAAACAAGGAATAGGTGAAAAGTTTCTCAACTTGATAGAGAATGTATAGCTAAGACCACATACATTGTGAAAAACAGGTGCTTTCCCCCTAAGATCAGGAATAAATAACAAGCCTTTCCCTTCTCACACTCCTTTTCAACACCACACTGGAAGGTCTAGATAATATCATAGGACAATTAAAGAAAAGAAAGGGCATTCAGAATGAGGATTCTAGGGTGTCAATATTTGTTACACTCTGTGATGGGATTAGTAGGAATAATCAAGTGATGTGGTGAAAGGACCTCTCATTCCATCTATAATCTGAGGAGTGTGTGTCAAGGGTATTGTTCTCCCAAAACAGACCATAAATGTTTCTCTTACAAAAGACAAACACTAAGGTCCACACACTAGGAAAAACAAACAAGTTTCTCTTAGCAATTGGTAACTTTGATGACTTTCCTAGCCCATGTTTATTACTGAGTGAAAATAAATTTCATAGTAACCAGTTTGCCAAGCCCCCCTTTTATGTCCTTGTTTCTAAGGCTGTAGATGAAGGGGTTCAGCATGGGGGTCACCACGGTGTACATCATAGCAGCTGCTATATCTGTCTCAGCTGAGTGCGAGGATGAAGGGTTGAAATACAGGAATATGATGGTGCCATAGAAGAGGCAAACAACAGCCAAGTGGGAGCCGCAGGTGGAGAAGGCCTTCCATTTTCCCTTTGTGGACGGGACTCTCAGGACAGCGCCAGTGATAAGAATATATGACACCAAGATGCAAATAAATGGAACGATCATTATTATTCCTGCTTCGATAAGGATCATCATCTGGTTGAGGTGGGTGTCAGAGCAGGAGAGTTTCAGCAGGAGGGTGACATCACAGAAGAAGTGGGGGATGGCGTTGTCCTCACAGAAGGAGAGTGGAGTCAGCAGCAGGGTGTGCAACAGGGCATTGAGGATGGCGATGACCCAGGACACGGCCACCATCACGGCGCAGAGCTGGTGGGTCATCTTTGTGGAGTAGTGTAAGGGGTGGCATATGGCCACAAAGCGGTCATAGGCCATGACAGCCAGGAGGAAATTGTCCATGTCGGCAAGGACGATGAGAAAATACAACTGTGTAAGGCAGCCAGAGAAGGAGATGGCCTGACTCTCTAGTATATGGTTGACCAGCATTTTCGGGACAGAGGTGGAAGAGAAACAAATGTCCACGAAGGACAGGTTGCTGAGGAAGAAGTACATGGGGGTGTGCAGGCGGGAGTCCACGCCAATGGCCAGGAGGATGAGCAGGTTCCCCAGGACAGTAGCCAGGTACATGCTGAGGAACAGGAGCATGAAGAGGAACTGCTGCTGTTGGGGCAGCCTGGAGAGCCCCTGGAGAAGGAACTCGGAGACACTGGACTGGTTTCCCCCTCCCATGGGTCTGGCCCAGGGGCAGAAAAGACACAAACTTTAGAAACCAAAAGCTAAGGGTTTGACCTCAATAACCCAAGTTCCAGTCACAGCTGTATTAACAAATCCTGTGTCGCAGTTGTTAAATCAGTACCTGCTCCTATTCCCCACACCCTCAACTTCCAATTCCCAGCCCCAGACAATGCTGATATCACTAGATTCAATTTTATTTTAAGATTTATTTTACTTATTTATGCATACATGAGCTGGGGTGCAGGCCAGAGGTGTGGGGTTGAGAGGATTCACCAGAGACAGAGTGGGGAGCAGAACAGGCAGACTGACTGAAACACACTGCTGAGGGGAGCAGCGGGCAAGACAAGAGAGGTCTGCTGCACCATGTGGGTAGCTTTCTTGCTGGGGATCGAACTTGTGTTGCAGAGGCTGCTGATAGCTTCACAGTGCTGAGACTTAACCCCTTGCATCACCAGGGAAGCCCTCACTAAACTCAATTTTAAAATTTTATCAAATAACAGAAACATAAGGTACATAGAAAGTCCTTCTTTTTCTACTGTGTACTTCTCCTGTAATAGTCACATTTAGCCCACTTTGTAGTAGCACATAGACAATAAAAACAGCTGATTGCTACTGAGTTTCTCTCAACCTCCAGCTGATGGATCCAGGACACTTACTATATTTTATTTGGTTCTAACCAAATAAAATAATTAAAATAACTTGTCTTCAGGCTACACCTGAAGACAAGGAAGATTTAACCAAGGGGGTTCCTCAAGGACCTCCACTCATCAGTAAAGAAATACTGACAGCTCCACTTTTGTCATCTCACCTGGAGGAGCTGGTGCTGCGACTATCAAGCCTTCACTTTGGAGGAACTGGGCAATGCTCTTATTTTTTACAAGGTTTGGAAAACCTTGAAAATGGAGGCAGGTGCTGAGCTCATGGAGAGCGAAGTGCACGACCTTAGCGCTCTGTGCAGGAGGGATGTTTGGGGGAGTCAGAGGCAGGTATTTACTGTAGCTTCCATGGCCGTTGAGACCAGATTCCCTGTGAGCCTCATTACAGACAAGCAGAAAGTAATCATCCCACCAATTTCCTGGTCCCTGTGGACCCAACAATGATGACAAAGTATATTCTCTGACTCCTGGGTCAGAGCTTGGGGACAGAGTCTGGGTGGAGACAAATCCCACAGAAAATTCCCTGAGACTTCGAATTGCATCACCTTGCTGATATGGGTTTATGTTTATGACATTACAGTAATTAAAAGACTTTTTTAAAATTTTCTTTGCTCAGGAACTGACTGGGGTAATTAGCATTATCTAAGTGGATTCCCTTTGTTCCCTCCCATCTGGTCGTTTATTATGTAGAGTTAGTGATTCATTTGCAGACAGTAAAGGTGGAGCTTAACATCAGAGTGGTCCTTCATTCTTTATAGCCTTTGGTGTAAAGGGTAACTAGTTTGTCTGGGCCAGGAGATAACCATATCAGAGAGAGCATAGCAGGCTATGATTCCCTGCCATGGTAGAGTTCTTTTTTTTATGATTTATTTATTTATGCATACAAGAACTGGGTACAGGCCAGGGGTGTGGGAGGTGAGAGGATTCACCAGAGACAGAGTGGGGAACAGAACAGACAGACTGACTGAAATACACTGCTGAGGGGAGCAGCAGGTGAGCCAAGAGAGGTCTGCTGCACCATGTGGGTAGCTCCTTGGCCAGGGGTTGAACTGGAACTTGTGCTGCAGTGGCTGCGGACAGCCTCGTAGTCCACATCTTAACCCCTTGCACCACCAGGGAGGCCCAGACTTCTTTCTGGTTGTATACCTGGCTTGCCAGGTAGGAAATAATAGGTAGGAATATTGATCATTAGGCAGGAAAATAGGATCATTCTCTGAGAATGATCCCCTAATCAATGATCACAGAAGTGTATGCTCCATCCCCCCAGTTTATACTCTAACACTTTCTGCCCAGTGAGGCTTCAAGATTGGATTAGGGAACCTGGACCTGCAATTGAGGGTCGGTGGGTCATGCTCAGTAAAATTTTGCCAGAATATGTAAATCCAAAAGCATTCAACTCTCCTCTGACCACCCATGGATGGAGAAGCAAAAGTCTATAGAGATGGGAAAAAACGCAACGACACAGAGTAGTAAAGACAGGAGAAAACAATGATGACTGCCCTTTTAGGACAATGCCTGGCCTACGTTATGGCCTCACTCACAGTTCTTAGTTACAAATAACAAAAACAAGTCTTCCTAGGGGCCTCCTTGCTGGCATAAGGGGTTAAGAGTCAGCACTGCAGCAGGGGTTAGATCCCCTGCCAGGGAGCTGACCCACATGGCACTGCAGACCTCTCCTGTCACACCTGCTGCTCCCCTCAGCAGTGTATTTCAGTAGATCTGCCTGTTTCTGCTTCCCACTCTATCTCTGGTGAATCCTCCCACCCTGCCCCCCATACCACTTGCTTGTACCCCAGCTCTTGTATGCATAAATAAATAAGTCTTTTTTAAAAAACAAGGGTGTCCCTGTGGTGCAAGGGGTTAAGCAATGCACTATGAAGCAATCTGCAGCCTCTGTAGCACGAGTTCAATCCCTGGCTGGCCAGAGAGCAACCCACATGGCGCAGCAGACCTCTCCTGTCTCGCCCGCTGCTCCCCTCAGCAGTGTATTTCAGTCAGTCTGCCTGTTCTGTTCCCCACTCTGTCTCTGGTGAATCTTCTCACCCCCGGCATCTCTGGCCTATACCCCAGTTCTTGTATGCATAAATAAATAAATCTTTAAAAAAAAATGAAGTCTTCCTGAGTTAAGCAGAAAAAGAATTCTTGAAAATGATAATGGCTACCTTTTGGAAACAGGAGACCAGGCTCAGAGGTCACATAGCAGCTATAAGGCTCACAGCATTCTGTAGAACTGTGTGATTAGTGAACCAACTCTCCGGCTACCTCCAAGCATAAATGTCACGTCACGACTTGAACACACATCACTGACAATGGTATGTCACCAAGTACCACTCCTGGCCCCAGACTCCATCCAGCTGCAACAGATGTGTGGTGTAGGTCTCCCCAGAAGGGCCAGATAGGTTTTTCTCAATACTCTCAAAGCAAGCAGTTCTTTTCCTGTGTCACCTTATATGGTGAACTCAAGTTTTGAACATCTGGTGACCCATACTAACCTGAAAGGGTAGATAGGTGGGGCTGACACCTGAAAGATGGACCAGATGGAGTATGGAAGACTCATGGAACATGCCAGTTGTCCCCGTTTGGGGCGCACCACCTCCAGCATGCCTCTTTGTGCCATTTCAGAGTAAAAATGCTGGAGTATTTACTGCAAAGCAGAACCTCACCTCCATACTGTAGCTCATAATTGCAGGTACTTCCAATGAAAGATGGCACTGCTGTTCCCCAAGAGTTTGTGCAGAAGCAGAACCCCCCTCCCCACCCTAAAACACACACACACACACCTGCGTAGAAAGTAGTCACTACCACTGGATAATTAAGGAAGGATCTGCAAGGGTAAGGATGACAAAGGAGAGTCAGAAGATTCAGTGTTTAAATGGTCCCACTGAAGATTGTATGCACGGCTCACAGAAGAGGTCCAGTCACAGGATCTGCCTGCCCTCCATGTGCCTGTCCACCTCTCCCTATGTTTGGGAGAGATTCCAGACACTGCAGAGGTGGGAATGTGGAAGTGCTAAACTAAAGGAGCCTGAGAAGTTTAATCATCAATATAAGTGATATTTCAATGCAACACTTTTTCAAAGCAAAAATTCTTGAAGGAAATATCAAAAATTTAATCACACTGTCAGTAAACTGGAAATGTGAAAATTAGTGTATAGAAACCTTGTTTCTATATGAAATGAAGCCAGGAGATTAGAAGTGTTCTGGGTATTGCAAACGATTCAAGAATTGGTTTTCATTACATAATGTGAAATTGTAACAGGGTGGTCCTCAAGAAAAGGGGACGTGCCATGTTCCCTGACCCACCCAAGGGAGGGTGGAGCTGAGCAGGGAGGAGACGAAGCTGGAGAGGAGACTGGAGAAGGAAGGAAGCAGGATGGAAGCCAGAAGGAGACCTGGAGGAGGCACATGGAGCAGAGAGACATGTGAAGAAGTTGCACTTGCTTCTTGGTCCTGGACTGGTTGAAACTGATGTGGGTGAGAGACTCGTGGGGAGGTTAACAATGGCAGATTTTATCTTTATTTTGATTTTGCTCTTTTCCTCCCAGACTTGTCTGGCTGTTTCTGACCCTTTTCTATGCCCCTCCCCCACCTCCCCTGAAGGTGCTTTAGACTTGTGGCAGGCTTTCTGGCCTCAGAGGCCCTGGTTTGGGCCAATCCTGTTTGGCTGGGCATTTACTCACCAGGGCATGGGTAACTTCAGGTGCTTGATTTGAAAACTCTATTCTCCATTCTTCCCCTTTTCTGTGCTGCACACAAATTGTATTTGTTTCTTTCCATTATGCATTAGAGTATGTTTTGTCTTGATGTAGCAGATGGGAGAAACTGTTTAGAGCAGGCAAGTTTGGGGGTTCTGGGGTGCCCCTCTCCCTGTCCTGCAATAAAATGAGTGGTGAGTCTGTGGTATGACTCAGTTGAAAAATTTTTGGAAACTCTGGAAAAACTGATTATGAAGGAACATTATGGATGAAATTTTCCTATTCTGAAAAACAAATGTCTGAAAGTCTTTCATCCATATAGAAGCTAAGTCAGTGACAGTTTTCAAAGCTTATTACAACAGGTGAAAGCTCTTGCTTGGTGGCATGTTGCAGGCTACTAATTAAAACCCTTTGTGGACTGGAACAGTGAGAACTCAAGGCCTTCAAGTGTCTCAGTCAGCACACACTCTGTATGGGTAAGCTGCAGGGACAAGAGATTGTGTTCCTCCTTTTTTTCCCCCCCAACAAATAAAAAGGGAGTATGTGAGTATGCACAAAGTGAGGAAAAAATGTATTATAAAATGCTAATTGGAAATCCACTTAAGAGGTTAAAAAAAAGCACATTTTCAAATAATGTGTTTTG